CCTCACAATTAACAAAAAAGCCTTCACATACGTTATTTCCATCATTTTTATGAAAAAAGTAAAGCCAAAAGAGGTTAAGTAAATACGTGCATGCATGCTAAGTTGCTTCAGTCGTGTCTGACTCTTTGCAACCCAAAGGACTATAGCCTGCCAGGCTCCTCTGTCCATGGGATTCTCCAGGCAAGAACACTGGAGTGGATGGATCGTCATCCCCTCCTCTAGGGAATCTTTCCCGCCTAGGGATCAAACCCCCATCTCTTAGGTCTCCTGCACTGACAGGCAGGTTCTTTACCACTAGCACCACCTGGGAAGCCCTTAAGTAAACATACAAGGTCACAAAGACCCTTTTCTAATATTCCAAGTACTAGTCCTAACTCCCCCAAACTACTCTTTTCCTACATCTCTACCCCAACTGGATCTAAATTGTTATCTAAACGCTTTTATTAAAAAGTGGTTGAGTCAAAGACAATTAGATAATCTGGCCTGTTTAGGTTCTAGCCTCACTTGTAATTTTACTTTCAGATTAGAGGTTCCCATCCTTATTCCCTTCCCTTGTTGAATTTTACTTTCTTCTCTCTTCTGTTCATTTTATAATCCGAAACCATACTTTAATTTTTAGCTAACCAAAAGTTAGCACTCAAATAGCTACTAACAAATTGTAAAACAGTGGTTTTTCTTCTTTTTGCTGGTCTCCAAGCTCCAGCAGTAATCATTATTAACCAAAGAAAAGCAGTAAATGAGAAGAAAAACAAAAATATCAGTGATAATCTTCAAACAGAATTAATAAAAGTAAAATCCACATGAAGACAGTATTAAACATGGCTAGTTTGGGTCTCTCTAGTCCGACTTGGAGACTTGGTCAAGACTCCTACACCAGTCTCAGTCTCCCTAAAATTTTTAATTTCTCACCTATACAACTAGTAGTAGTTTTCTCTATGATATACTACTATGTACTACACAATCATCACCTACAAATGTTAATCATTGTAATTGTTATTTTAGACCTATATATTGTTCAGGCACAGAGGTGGGGGGGGAGGGAAATGGGAGAAAGGGAGATAGAGGTATTTATGGGGGGAAAAGAACCCAACCATTACTTCAATTACTCTGGTACTGTGTATCTCAATGCCAAGAAAATAATGAAATATTTATCAAAACACTCAAGTTCAATAAAGCTGCCCTTGAACAACTACTGTAAGTAAATTCAAGGATTAAAGTTAATTGTTAAAAACCCTGGTCACTAGAGTCATCTTTATCCTGATATTACTGCTTGGAGCAACAGGAGAAATTTAAAGAAAAATAATCACAAACAGTAAATCTTATGTGGTTCTTTTCTATAAAAGAACCATTCACTTCCAGTTCAAATTCCTAATCACATTCAAAATGCATGTTCTTAGATAAGTAACTTGAAAACCCACTAAGGTTGAGCAATACGTAAACCACAGGCTTCCGAAGCAAAGAAAAGAGCAGAAGGGGGGTTGCTCTCATCACAGGTTTATATAAATAAAGGTGGAAACTAAGTTAGAAGTACTACACAAAGCTCTGACAGAGAAAACAACAAATCTCCTATTCTTTTCTGACAGATTTATTTAACTCTAATCTCAATTTTACATCAGAAAATAAAATACCACGTATGTCTAAATACCTACAATCTTTTGGACTCTCCTACCTCTCCTGCTCTAAGGGAGCTAACAGGATTCAACAGCATAACAACAAAACAATAAATGAGTCAAATGACCAGTTATTAGGCTATCCTGGCAAAGTGTGCAACTATTACGGTATTTTTTAATCTCAGAGAGATAATTAAGTGAAAAAAATAACCCTCAACTTTAGCTACATTTGTCTGTTAATATAAACCGCTTCAAAAATAAATTTTAGTCTTTTAAAAACACTTCTACTGAATGCCTATGACTCACTAAAATAAACTAAATGCAGTAACAAATCATAATACCAGTCAATCCTCAAATAAACAATTAAAAGATGATACTCTTTTGTCAAAGGATTTTTATTACAGCAATTAATATTCACAACTTTTTTTTTTTAACCAAGGTTTGTTTATAAACTTAAGGCAACATTACCTTCTGGAGGCAGAAAATATATACTCATTTTTTAAGTTAAAGGTTCTTAATATACCTTCTCTTCCTCTCAGTTTCTGTTCCTAGTAATGACTTTTTGAAACTCTTTGGAACTTAATGAACAATTTGAAATACAAAGCCACTTCAAAAATTTGTTTCAAAAAATTTCTGTAATGGATTAAAAAGTTAGGAATTGTTACCCCTTAAAACAATTTACTTCATGAAAGACCAGATTAAAAGTCAAGCCCTGTAATTGTTTAAACAACTACCTAATTCTACACTGGAACACTAAACTGCATTCAGAATGTAATCTAAACTCATATTTAGGAAGTAAATTGGCTATTTGTTGAGTTTTTTCCTACCTTTCTATTAATCCATAAAGCCATACTGACCATATGGATTTGTCTCTTACTTCAGAAGCACAAAAACGTCAAATGTGAACAGTTTCATCTGAAATATTCTTAACAATTCTTTCTGCATTTCAATTTACTTAACAGTTCTTTACAGACTGCCCAGGAAACTGAAGCCAAGGAATCTGACTGCAAGAAACTGAAAGGCGTCCAAAGAATAACACAGGATAAAGTTGACTCATTACAGTTTACAAATGAACATTTGATTTGCTCACCATATAGTACTTACAAATTCCAACAGGACTGCACAGGAAGGTGTTGGGTTTGTTTCTGTAATCTTTATGTTTTCCAGTTTGTTTTTTTATTTTGTATCCTCTGAAATAATATCCAAGTTCTTTGAAGACACTTAACCTATGGCTATTTGACATAGAGTTACTTCAGTCAGCTACCCATACTTCTGTTTTAAAGTTTTCATATGGCTATCGCCAGAATTAGCCAAGTTCCTTGGATTTTAAGATTTTAACGTCTTCTTTATTATTCCATGTACTTGTCACTGTTGTACTTATCCACTCCAGATGAAATAATCCAATTTATGAGTCAAAAAGCAAAAACAAAAAGAAAATTTCACATCTGAAGAGCATTCCTAAACATCAGCATAAACAGAGACTATCTCAATACTACCATGCTGCTGGGAAACTGCCACATCTTAAATTTCCACGTAAATAAAAGATAAAAGCAAAAAAACTCTGTATTCATTCAATGTCTTCATTTAGAAAAGCTGTCCCATTGTGACATGAAAAGGGCTGAGGTCAAAAATTCCTAAAACTTTTAATAAAGGTAAAAATAAACTGCCATGAAAAACTTCAGCAATATTTAAACAGTAATTTGAAAACTGCCGAAAACTACTCAGTACACAAATCAAACATATCTTACAGTTTTGGCTGAAGAACACCAACAACAGGGGAGGGGTTGGGGGGGAAGCAAAAATACCACCAGCTGAAACACTTTAAACCAGTTATATAATCCGTTTGAACCAAAATACTGAAGAAATGCCTGGATCTCTTTTTAAGTAGCTTGTAGAATTGTTCACTACTATCAATTCACTTCAGAGATGATTCTTGCCAATTTTAATAAACTTCTGGGGTAAAATTATCCAAAATCATTGTAATTCCAAAATGGCCACTTGAAATATCCGGGGCCTTTTACACAAAACCTAGAAGATGATCTTCATATCTGAGTAATTCAATCACCTGTAAAAGTTATAAAAAAATTTTTTTAATTATACACTTAATTTTAATTTTGAACTAAAAATTAATCCCCATCCTCAACAGTCAACCTCTGGAGAGAAAGGCACTTCCGCACCCAAAAAAGGTCTACTGTATGAAAAGGACTTCAAAATATGTAGAGGGGGAGAAAAAAAGGTGGGAGATGGTATTATGGTAGACAAGTGCTGATTCCAACTGGGAAGGGTGTGCGGATATAAGGTAAAGGAATTATATAAGCAAACCTCCTTATACTTTGAGTAAATGTTACAAACGAGCAAACAATCTTCTAAGAGATCTTCCGTATTTTCTATTCAAATCTACCAAAAGAAAACGCAAAGACAGGTGTGCTGCCACGCAGCATTACTAAATGCAACTTAGCGAATGAGGGATATAAAGAGAAAGACGCTCCCTCCAAATCAGAATGTCCAAAGGAAAGGGGCACATTTTCCCCATTCAGAGTAGGAAGGTAAGTGGCCGGGAAGTGGGACAAGAACATTCCTTAAATCCGCCCGAGGGTGAGACTTACCCGGCAGCCACGAGATGTGAGGGTTCCCATTTCCTTGAATTAAGAAAACAGGTTTCTCTCAACACTGAGGGGGTGGAAGGTACTGAGCCCTTCTCGTATACCACGTTAAGAGTGCTTTTCTCCCCAACCAGACCGAGTTCCCTCAGACCCTACAGGACTCAGAGGGGCAAAGCTGCGCTCGCCTCGGTCCACAGTCACGGACCTGGAGAGGCGGGCTGAGCGGGTGCGCTGAGAAACAACCAAAGGCCACAACTCGGCCTCGACTCTCTCAACCCTCAGACAGCGGCAGCGGTGCAAAAGGAGGCGGGAGCCTGCGAGAGGCCGAAGGGAGGAAGACCGAGCACGAAAGGCGTCGGACCCATTCCCAGCCTCCACCAAACACCACCCCCCCGCCCAAGCCGCCCGGGCTAAGCCACCCACCCCCTCCCACAACCGCCACCTCCGCTCCACCCGGACCAAGTCAATACCTAGAGGGGCCTCGCCGCGCCGTCCTTCCCTCTCTGTCCTCGCTCTCCCGCCACCCACCCCCCAGTCCTCGGGCAGCCTCACACCTCGCGCCGCCAACGCCGCTCCCGACCCCTCAAACCTCAACGCCGACACGGGTACCCCCTCCCATCCCTAGGCCCTGGCGCCGAGCGCAGAGGACGCTATTACCTTCTGCCACACCAGAGGTGCCCCTGGCCTAGGGGTGCCGCTGCGCTCGATCCCGGGAGGAGGTTTTCGGTACTTTGAATAATCCCCTTTTGCCGCTTTTCCCTCCCCCACAACCAGTCTCAGTCCCAAAATGGCGCCGACCCGATCCGCAATGTTCTGGGCCAAGTCTCGCGAGATCGTGGAAGGTGGCGAGGCGGGGAAGAAACTAAAAGGGCTGAGGAGAAGGGAGGGGAAAGGCGGGGCGAGGAGAAGGAGGAGGGAGATAGGGTGTGGAAGAAGCGGTGCGAACGAACCTATTGGGCGGGGCAGCAGGAGGAGCGTCTCCACCAGAGAACCTTCTGGCCTAAGCAACCGCTCACGCCCCGGCCAAAGAAGCCCCGCCCTCTACGACGAGCGGCTGGGGGAGGGGAAGAGGGCGTGGTTATGCCTAGGGGAGGGGCTTCGAGGAGGTCCCGGAGGCAGGGGCGCGCGGGGGGCGGTGGCTCCGCGTGGTGACGTCAGGAGCAGCTGGAGTCGGGGATTACCCCCTGCTGCTGACGTGAGGATGGTGAACAATCGGGAATGTTCGGTGGAAGGGGGAATTCCCCGCTGCTCCCTGAGGAGCCCCTCCTCCCGCCCTTCCCCGCGTCCGCGCCCGCCCGGGAGCCTGGGATGGTGGGGCTACGGGAGGGCGAGAGGAGAACGCCGATTCGGCAGGCGGTCCGCGCCGGCTCGAGTGGCTCGCGCCGCGGCGTCTACCCTGGCTGGATGCTCTGAGGAGCGGCGGCGCGCGCGATGCGCCGGATACCTCGCTCAGGCCTGGGAGGCTGAGAGATCATATGCTCGCCAGTACACAGACCTGCGCGAGCGGAGCGCCGACGGAGTTGGCGCAGGACTAATCCGGCGCCTTGAAGCAGTGGATCCACTGTCGTATGCAAATACGAGAGTGTCGAACATAAATAATATACGCGAGGCCGGTGACTGAGGAGACGAGACTCGCTGGTTGGGAACGAAGCCCAGATTGTCAGGGATAAAAGTAGCTACTGGATATAACCGTGCTAATTATCGTTTTTCTGTTTATTAAATCTACGGCAGGGGAGGATTATTTCAACAGTGTCTCGGTCCCTCACAGCTCGTAAGGTTCGGTATAATAAATTTTGTGGGCGTCACCGTTTTCTAATTGCGATGCCTTTTTGCCTTGAAACTGAAGACTCACGTTGAAACCTGTGAAATCAGCCTTTCAAGGGGGTATCGCAAAGTAAGAAAAGTAACCGTATTTCTTTAGCAAATATGTAGGGGAAGGGTGTCTTAACGAGGGAAAAACCGGAGAAGAAAAATTTCTTGGCTCTTCGTCCTCCAAGCCATGAGGATTTCATACACGGAAACTTTATGGTTCTTTTATGTGCATTATGGGGTTTGTAGTTTAATGAACTGCTTCTAAAAGCTACCTGAAAAAAATAAAAATAAAAAAAATAAAAGCTACCTGAAAGAATGTTTGAATATAAATTCACCAAAAATTACACCTCCCAATATTTTCGTTTTCGTAGGGAAGATGGACACTTGGCAATTAATAATGCCTCGCTGAGTGCAAAGAAATGAGAATTAACACTTGCTAGATTCCTTGTCTGTGCCAAGTACTTAATTCTTACACTAGTTTCTGAAGTGGTGTTGTTTTCCTCCTTTTGCAGATGAGGAAACTGGTTCAGATTACACAACATGGGATGTGGGTGCCACCACTTGGCTGTACCATACTTTAACTCAAGTGTGTTTGGGTCTTAATTCACGTTCTTTACACCACACCACATTACTTCCATAGAAATAACGTACGTATTGGGACAAGACCTGCTGCTGCTTCTATTTCTAAGCATGGTGTCAATTCAACAAACAAAGGAAAATATTGATGCTTTGAAAACACGAATTGTACCTTTCATATGGCAAAAGATATAAAGCTGAAAACCCAATAGTGAATGGAGAAACAGTTGTAACATGGATGACAAAAATGTTAATATTTAATTATATACAGTTGGTTGCTATCCACAATAATAATGTTCAATTTACATAATAAATACATTAAGAGCTCTTACAAATTATTAAGGAACAGGCAACCATACTAACTTCTTTTAAAAGGTCAAAGGACATGAAGAAGCCAGTCATGTATGTGTCAGTAATTACATGAAAAGATGTTCTACCTCACTAAAAATCAGAAAAAATGAAAATAAAACTAATAGTGACATACTGTACTACATTTCACCTAGCAGACTGACAAAGATTTAAAAAGAATAAAAACTAGATGAAGGTATAAGGAATAGGCATTTGTGTATCAACAGCTATTCTACATCTGAGAATTTTTATTAGTAAAATAATAAAGGTGTCCAACAATTTTATAAAGATATCCATTGATAAGTTGCTTATAATTACAAAAGCCATTTAAAATGATGATATACTTCTTTGTAAAAAATGATAACATGAAAAGATGTTCACAGCAGACATTACTGAAAAATGTCAGTTACAGGACTGTCCATTTTCTGTCATCTAGAAAAACTTTATATCAAAAGATTAAGTCTGACTAAATAGATATAAAAATGTTACCAATGTTTATTTCCAGGTAGAGAATCTTTATACTTGTTAAGGGCCTGTGTTATTTTTCTAATCATTAAAAAACAAGCCAACTAAAAAAAATACAAGAATCTGTCTTCAACCAGTAATATGGTTTCCATTATTTTATTCATTTAGTGAAATGTAAACAAAGGATTTATCACATAATAGTTTATTTTATTAGTTAGCATAACATTATAATAGTTTGAAAAACGCTTTTTTAACCAAGCCCTGTGTAAGAAATAAGGGCTTCCCAGGTAACTCAATGGTAAAGAAATCTGCCTGCCTATGCAGGAGATGAAAGTGATGCAGGTTCGATCCTTAGGTAGGGAAGGTTACCCTAGAGTAGGAAATGTTAACCCATTCTAATACTCTTCCCTGGAAAATTCCATGGACAGAGGAGCCTGCCAGGATACAGTCCATGGCATCGCAAAGAGTTGGACACAACTGAGCATGCACACACTCTTCACTTTATATAAGAAATATTGACAAACGACAACTCTTTCAGTGATTTTATAAATATTAGTCATAAAGAGATTAAGTAACTTGCTTCAAAATAATGTTAGCTCGAGTATACATGATGTGTAAATGAAGGTATTCATTTCCAACTTATGTGTAATAGTGAAAACCAGAAAACCTAAATGTCTGCCAACCAAGTGTGTGTGTGAGTGCATGCTCAGTGGTGTCCAACTCTTTGCGACCCCAGGGACTGTAGCCTACCAGGCTCCTTTGTTCATGGGCTTTTCTAGGCGAGAATATTGGAGCGGGTTGCCATTTCCTACTTCAGGGTATCTTCCCAACTCAGGGATGAACCTGCCTCTCTTGCATCTCCTGCACTGGCAGAAGGATTCTTTACTACTGTGCCACCTGGGAAGCCCCTACCAGTCAAGTACTGGTTAAAAAATTAATGTGTATCCATATAGTAGAATACTATACAGCTGTTAAGAATAAGGTAGGCCAACATATGCAAAGATATTCAATATGTTAAGAGGTAAAAGTATGTGACAAAACAATATATATATATAGCATCAGAATTTGTTTTTTAAAGTATGTATATTTATATAGCAATAATGAAAGAATAACTTTAATATTCATCAGATCAAGATTTTTTTGTTTTATTCACTTCTATGCTATTTGAATATAATATTTTATAATAATTTGATGTTTAAAACTTAATTGCCAAAAATCTAAAGCAGTTGGGAAGCAAAATATTTCTATAGGAAACCTTGAATCTTTCCAAACTATATCCAGTGTTCCTTTTCTGTGTTCCCATTATGCAATCCTGTGTTCATATCTATGATTACCCATTTTTACCTCTACCTTGATCCTGGAAAGTGTCTAGGAACTTCCTTATCATCCCTCTACATGTAATTACAGTTGCTGATTTCCTTACTTGTCTCTACCATGGAACTCAAAGGTCCCTGAAAGCAGCAATTATGTTTTTCATATTTATTCATAGCAACTAGTATAGTTTTGGCCACAGCATAAATATTTGTTAAATGCATGGCTTCCCCACCTTAATCTTTGTTTTTGCCACATACTATTATACTTGTGGGCTTCCCTTGTAACTAAGTTGGTAAAGAATCTGCCTGCAATGCAGGAGACCCGGATTCAGTCCCTGCATTGGGAATATCCTCTGGAGAAGGAAATGATAACCCACTCCAGTATTCTTTCCTGGAGAATCCCATGGACAGAGGAGCCTTGTAGGCTATAGTCCCTGGGGTCACTAGAGTCAGACATGACATAGCATCTAAACCACCACCAATAACAATTTTTAAGTACAAAAGTTGTACATGTAGAACATTTGATAGATACAGAAGAGTATAAACAAATAAAAATTACCTATAGTCCACCACCCAGAAATAATGGTTCTTAAGTTTTATTAATGTATTCATTTCAAGGATTTGTTCTTAGTATGTCTTTGTATCATCATATATGTTAAGCTAACCTTTAAATCCATTTTTTATTCCGTATGTTCAAAACTTCCCACATTTAAAAAATTCTTCCTTTTGTCTATGGTTCATTTTAAGGATTAGCATAACATTTGATACCTAGTCTTTATGACCTGTTTATTTTAACAATAAGGATGGTCATTATTTTTGAGCCACTTTTCTAATGTACCTTTCCCTAGAAAAGTTTCCTGATCCTGTTAAGTTTCACTCAATTGCCCATGAGATTTTCCAGGCATGAGTACTGGGGTGGGTTGCCATTTCCTTCTCCAGGGGATCTTCCCAACCCAAGGATCGAACCCCGGTCTCCCGCACTGCAGGCAGATGCTTTACCATCTGAGCCACCAGGGAAGCCCCATTTCATGATTATAAATTCAAATTTACCAAGTATTTTCTCCTTTTGATGAGTTTTTTAGTTGTGACAGTGTTAGTCACTCAGTCATGTCCAACCTTTTGCTATCGCATGGACTGTAGACTTCCAGGCTCCTCTGTCCATGGAACTCTCCAGGCAAGAATACTGGAGTGGGTAAACATTTCCTTCTCCAGGGGATCTTCCTGACCCAGGGATCAAACCCAGGTCTCCTGCATTGCAGGCAGATTTCTTTACTGTCTGAGCATAGAACTAATTGCTGGAGAATTGATCACTTACTCCTTTCTCAAAGCATATATGTGAATTGACAAATATTCTCTGGGCTCCAGTTATGGGTGGCCCAGTTTTGCTAATTGGCACTTACATGTCTGTGTTCCTCTCTTTGTTCTAGGAGATATGGAGGAACACTATTAGCATGAGCACAATTGTCAACAAAATTTTTAAATGTTCTCTCCAATATGTGACTTTCAAAACACAGACTCTTCTTGCATGGTATCTATAATTTTAAAACTATAGCATGTAAATGCATGTAAATCACTGAAGATAAAGTGAAAACACTTTGTAGAGTTTTTAAAAGTCTTGGAATCTATTTCAACATGTTGTTTCCTCTGTGATCTCTGAAAATGAAATGTGAGGAGCCCTGGAGGCACAATAGCCACCATCCCCTGCACCTTGTTACTGACTGAGTGACTTGAGAGAAACTGAGTCAAGAGCTGGGCCCTGACTCTAGGTACAATAAACATGTGGGAAACTGCTTAGGAATAGTCTCCATGATGGAATTTCCTTTGTGTTTTTCCTCTTAGGTTTCCAAGTTCATCTTGGGGTAGCTCCATCCTCTTCTGGCTCTGAATATTCATTCAGTGAAAGGAAATCTATCAAGTACTTTAGAAGGTTTATTGAATCAATAGCTTCCCAGTAAAAATGAGTGGCAACACCGCCCCCCCAACCCCACCCCACCCCGGCAAATAATTCTACTTAAATGCATTAATGCCACTTGTAACACTAAGTCTAATTGCCTAAGCATATAGGGATACAGACTGGAGGCTAAATGGCCTGGTCAAAAGTCAGTCA